CGATTTATAATATGGCATAATTATCATAAAATCTTGTGTAATGGGATCTTGGGTAATTCCATAATATTCATTAATATTATAAAATGCATAGTGTTTCCGATTTAAAGACATTTCATAATACACTTTAAGCTGAACTAAAAAATATATAAAATTATTTAACTTAATTTTATATTTATGATCAAAATTAAAATTAAATACGTACCTCATTTAACTCTTTAGAACTGATGATTTTAGAATTGTTAAGTTTCTTGAGAGCAACAGTCTTACTACTATTTTCCTTCTCTTTCGTCCAACTTGCTTTATAAACTTTACTAAATCCTCCTTCGCCAATAAATTCCAAGTCTTTGAATCTATCATATGGAATAAATTCCAATCTTCCAGCATTTTTAGCACGATTAGTTTGTGTAAATCTTACAAAATCATCAATGACTTTATTTCCGCTTGATATGAGCATTGTTTTTGCTTTATAGCAAAGATGACAAATCTGATAAATGTCATTAAACTTTTTTCTTTTTTGATTGCATCCATTACATTTCTTATACTGTAATTTAGACTTAGGTTGAGTTTGTTGACTTAAACTTGTTTCATTTGTAATTAAATAATCAATTTTTGCATTTGGTTGTTCCATGTTAATAAGTATACTTTTATTAAATAAAATTTTTTTTTGGTATTGAAATTTTATTTTAATTGTACTTTTCGGATTATGAATTCCGTTAAGCCCACCATTGTGTTAAAACTAAATTTGATATAGTATGGTAGATCACCATCATGTTGATCGTATTGTTTATAAATACCTTTTTTCGTTGATTGATTTTATTTTAATCAATTTTTTTTGCGATTGTCTAACGTCGATAGCTCCTGGGTTTAGACAGACCGTCGAATGTCGAAAGTGTCAAAACTTTAATAAAATCATATAAACTAACCAAACAGTCGAAACTATATTAAGGACTTATTAAAAACCTGTCGAAACTAGAGGTTTAGACGTTTCAAAATAGGTTTCGTCAGGCAACTATACGATAACCAGTCGTGCGGACAAACGGAAATCTTGTGCCACCGATTGTAAAACATATGGGAGCGTTTCCAGTAAAATCAAGTATATGGTAAATCATATGATCCGTAATGTGATTTTACTGGAAACGTTCCTATATAGTCCTTCGCTACGCTCCGGACTAACAAAGGGTAAAAAAGCATATGTAGAATGGAGGTTTCCAAGGAGATATATAATGATGCGTTCAATTCTAGTGAGTCAATGCTAACACTCGAAATAGAAAAGGTTTTCAAATTAAATCCACCACTTAATGATGATGATTAATCGGGAGAAGATAAGAATTCGGTTCAGCCTTCCTTTCTATGGCGGTTAATCACGTACGCATGCGCTATGATCCATCAACGCGTGTGGAAGTTGAACTCGACGGAAGTGTCTATATACAAAAAATCACGATCTAAGTGACAGAACCCAAAACCACATGAAAGTTAAAAGGTTGTTGCACCAACTCTAGTACAAATTCACAGTGCTGCAGAATCAATGCTAGGCAAGCGAAAACGATCAATTTCATATCCTGAACAAACGATGTTTGATATCGTGACAACGGGTCGTTCTTGGCCTTTCATTCGATGGAATGGGACATTAAAATCACCAAAGGCAGAGATTACTCAAGAATACCCTTTTATATTTGAAGGTGAAATGAAAGAAGCAAAAACTGTAAACTCCTACATTGTGCGAATTCTACAATCACAAGCTAAATCATTGAACAAGGAAGGACATGTACTAAACAATTATGCAACGATAATAAGTTTGGATAGGTTAGTTTAAGTTTTTTTTTTATATCATCGAAATTCTATATGAATATTGTTAATTTTGGTAATATTGTTTATATGAAGCGAATCTTTTTTTAATTCAGATATTTATGAAATTTTATGATTATTCTTAGTACATGTACCAAATATTATCGTTATAATAAGATCGCGGCATAAGACGATCAATCTACTATATGTCATTTCTGGCGAATCTGTTGGAATTGACACTTCGAACCTGATATTCGAACCCAATGGTCTAATGAAAAATATATGTCAAATTGGTCATTTTGACATCTGAGATCAATTAAATTATCTTCCTTCAGATTGATATTTTAAGGAATTCCGTAGCAAAGCCATGAGAAGGGAAATTTAGTAATAAAAGAGCATCATTTTGCTCATAGTTCTCGATAGGCCGGCTGAGGCAGTAATGGTTGATTTTATTGTATCTTCTTATCATTTATTAATAAACTTATTTCTTTTTCATCTTTTATAAAAATTTATTTTGTTAATTTAAATCGTTACATCGTATATTCGTTGCAATCATTTTTTAATAAACAAATAAATTATGTCTGATTTTGCAAAATATCTTTAATTATTAATTCGGAGCTAGTAAAACATTTAAGAAATCACATGAAATTCGACATTTACATTATTTTGAAACATACTGTATACACTTTACACTTTTCATTATAACTCACTATTTTTTTTGTTGATATTCATTATAAGAAATTTTAGAAAATCCGATTAAGTTTAATTAGGAATACTTTTATTAAAATGGTTGAGTTTACCTATTACGTAAGAAATAGTGGATTACTTACTATTCTGATTATAATAATTGTGTTGAATACTTGAACCGCTTGTTGTGTAAACTTTAAAAAAAGTCAAACTTACCGTTAAAGACTATACTTTATTTGAATTGTAAGAACTTATCATGTTAAGTTAAATAGAAAATAGGGTTAACCAAACATATTAGGTGGTTATATTATAATATTTTCAAAGTGATTAGTTGTAACGAGGACAATGCATTTAATATTTTTTGAAAAAGCAAGAGAAGGAAGGGATTAGGTTCAAATTCTAATTAAAAATGTCATTAAAGTGCATCGCTTATTATCTCGTATAAAAAAATATATATTGGAATATCTGTTGCAACTCGGGTCTAAGGGATAAGAACATATAGATCATGACAGGAAATTTAATAAAAAGAATGATTTTTCGACGTTTTTTATTTGAACGTAAATTTGAGCATTATTTGATTTTGAGAAGGAAATTATGCTCAAAAA